TGCATTCCGACGAACACGCATCACATCGCCACTACGTCTTTATGAGCTGAGTTCGCGGTGATCCCCTTGTGGGTGGTCCCCTCATATGCCGGCACCATTTTCCGGTGACCTCTAAGGACTTTAATTAGGACTCCAAAGAATGAATATATTTTCCAATATTTCATTTAAAAATGTTATCTGCATAAGATATTTTTAAAATTACCCCATCTCTTCTTGGATCCCAGTTGTGCGAAATCATGGACAGTGTAAAATGGTATTTAAGGCGAAATACTGCGAAAGTTGTAGATGAAGTTCTACAATTAATTCCTGGTTTTGTGTTTGGCAAAATCCTACACTTGTAAAGCTTTAGCTGTTTCTCAAATTTTCAATTTTGGTAACGGGAGACGTAGGAGCTTAACCACTGTACCCCGACGGTGCGGCTTGGCCTTGTCGGAGTAGTAGAACTGCATTTTAGTGAAATATGCGCCAATTTCGGAGGCAAATTTAATGATTCCAAGGATTATTGCATTTACTCTTAGGGGATGCGCATGCAAAAAATCCTGACCTCTACCCCCAGTCTCCTTAAGAAGTGTCCTAACTTAAGGCAACCAATCAGGTAGTTCAGGTGGCTAAATGAGGTCCTACACGTGTGGTCACTCTTGTGTTAACCACTGGCATTTGTAAACAGGTTTAGTGTCTCTTGCGCTGTGCAAAGAGACCATAATGAGGCTAAGTCAATGCCAGAACTTCCGGTATTTTGCTTTTGTGTTATGTAGGTTGCAAAGTCAATCCGATCTCTCAGCATGACAAAGTTCAATACGTTACATTTGCTTCAAATTTATACCCTTCTGTACAGTAAATTCCACATTGGTATGCATTATTTCTTTATTAGAACATTTTATTTTTAAATTCGTCATAACTAACAAGGAATGAAAACTGCGCCCCTGCATCCTTTGTGTGTTGTAATGATTGCATCCTCAGTTACTCATTAAATAAATGCAAGCATTGCGACAAGAAGTTGTGTGTCTTCTTTCATTCGATTAAACAATACGGAAGAGAAAGAGTAAGTCAGCTTATTAATAATTGAAGCACATTTAGGTGGTATCTTTGTGCAAGGAAAGTATAACGTCTTAACACAAGTGGTAGGAAAGTTTGACATTCCTTCCATTTGTCGTGTCCATATTCAATCGCGTTTGGCCATTTAAAATGTTACTGTCAGAAAAACTTACCCCTCTGTAATTTGTAACAAAGGCAATTGAATAGTAACAGTACAACCCGTGACAGACCGCATCATGATGTTCCTTATAAATTAGTCGCGTTGAATAAAGTATAGTCAAATTAACCCTCATATACTTAACAAGAGCAAGCTCCGTTCTCGAAGCCTAGAAGAAAACTTATTGTCCTTTTGCACACCGCTTAAATAACTGGGCAGTAGATTACTGCTTTGGCATGCCAATCAGTTCACCCCATACCTTGAAAGGAGAAAATCAGTATGATCTTCCCTGCATACTTGACTCTCAGCCATGGAGAAGTGCACGTCGAAGCAGCTCTGTGAAAAAATGCCCTGTTTGCTCTACAAAATCCACCAGCTTGTTAATCTTCAATTTTAGCTACTCCTAATCCACATCCTCCACATTCATCCCCCTCACCTTCTTCTACTTCTCCTAACTTTTCGCAGTACTATATGCTACCACATTTCCTCGACGTTGGCAATAGTCATGCAATTGATGATGCCAGCACAGAAAAGAGAAGTAACCATGCAAATGACTATGGATCTTCTCTAACGACTGGTCGGCTGTCCCCATAAGTTTGCAGCTAAATGGTTGCAGAGATCCTTTGGCATTAAATAACTCAATGCAAGCCTGCAGGAAGATATGCAGTGGGCGAAGCACCACCCGTCAACTAAGACGCCTCTAATTTGGTTTAAGTTACTCCACCTCCTAATCTACGATCGGTGGATTGGCCCAACAGGGTGGAAGAGAGAGAGACGAGGCAAAAGGTGGTATCGCCAAATTCCCTAGATTGCGTCCTACATTAAAAGTGCTGCAATG